GTGGAGATGCTGGTGATGGGCAGGTGGAGATGCTGGTGATGGGCAGGTGGAGATGTCATGATGGGAGCTATGGGTGGCAGCTTCTCTTTGTGCATTGTCTAAGGAGCACAATTACAACCAAAAACCAATCTCACATATTTGGCTTAATAAAAGGGAGGCTTCAGAGAAACAGACAGCACCAAAAAGCTGAAACTTCTGGGAGACGGAGGCAGCATTGTTATGTGGGGGATGAGTGCCAATTGAACAAGCCGCAGTTCACCAAAACTTGTTTCTGCTCATTCTGCTGTCAGACGGCACACAGCATAACACACCAGTATTTGCAAATTAGCACTTACACATTTTTAAAAGGAACTCCCTGGATTCAATAGGTTCTGGAAATAATTTTTAAGACAAATGGGGGTAATCCCATTTTCTAATGAACTCTTTGAAATGATCTGAGATTATTTAAAACATAGTGGCCCAAATTATCAACGTCCACTGGTAGTCATGGTTTTCTTTGTCTTCTGGTAACAGAACCCTGGATTTCATCTGGCTACGAGTCTATCCAGCAAAAGATGACATTTCCAGACTCCCTTGCAGCTACTGTCCTGAGTGACAGTGATGGCTAGTGAGAGCTGAGTGGTACTGACATGTGCAACTTCTGGGTTAAACTCAAGAACTGGTTAGATCTGAGTGGTAGTGATGTGTGCAACTTCTGAGTTCAACTCCAGGACTGAACCAGTTGCTTCTCATATTCTCCTCCCTTTATGTCAAGGCTGCCACACAAAGGGCTTGCAGGTGCTAAGGCAACAGCTCCCCCCCAGGAAAGGTGGAGCAACAATGTGGAAAATTCCTGGGCTTTTGAGTGACCCGTGGAGTAGGTCTCTATTGCCTTTGGTCTGTCTGTCAGCTTTGACTTTTATATGGGACAAAAATAAACCATCTATTTGTTAAAGTCATTAATATTGTGGTCTCTGTTAAAAGAGCCCAACCAACAGCCTAGCTTCCATAGATGCCCCATCGACAGCTCACATTTGGGCACTGGGAGGAGGTGCCTTGTCAGGAGACTACAACCCAGCGAGAGCAGGGACCAGCACCCTCTACCTGTGAGTTAGTCCCTGCGTTACCCCTTTCTCTTTCCTGGGCTCTGCCTTGCCTTGGTCCACACTATGTTTTATTTCTATACAAAAATCAAGGGCCAAGGAAAGATCTGGATGGAAATTATGTTCTTCTAACTATACAGTGGTTTTTTTTTTTTAACCAGCAATTATAGCCCCAGTTTTCTATGTTGCTGAAGTTTTGTTTTATGGAGTAATTTTCAGATAGATTTATATTGAATATACACACAGATATGTGACTTGTTCATTCCATTTCATTTTGTTCACTTATAAATTTGGCCACCTAATGTATACAGGGAAGGTACTCGAGCAAAATGAAGCCCATTCATGAGAAAAGAAAGAAAATTAGTTATAATTCATGGATACATATTCACAGATGGGGAAAAAAGTAAATGAAAGACAAGTTTACCTTTAAAACTCCAGAAAAAAAGGCAAAAAAGAAATGAGAAGTTCAATGTAAGCCATTGTTACGGCTAGCTGATCACTGGAAATGTCCTGTTTTTGTGTTAACAAATAGATGATATTTGTTAATGCATGATGGATGCATTTGTAGCATAAGAACCGCAGCCTAAATGAAATATTCTGGTATATAATTAACTGGTGTGGGCTCTATTTCTTTTTTAGTACCTGTGGAAAGTATAGATGTATAAACATCTGCTCGTTGGCTGAAATAGCTACAGTTGTTCAAATCATTGGCATTTTTATCATAGAACTCACTGGTTTTTGCGGGTTATTTTTCTTACTTGGTTCTAGAGATAAAATGCTGCATACATCACGAGTTTTCCATACAAACGTCTTTTTATACTTATGAACATCCACACTCACAACACACCTTTCTCTAAACACACTCACCTTTCCCTAAAGTACGAATAATGGCTTCTTCTCTCACATGTGTGCTGAATACCCAACATCACCTATATCTGAGAATCATAGTCATGAAAGTAATGAAAGAGCCAGGTTCTCCCAATACAGACAATAAACTGGGGATGCGGGGGTGAGATGCACAGTGGGTGTCCCTTGGTGTGTGGCTCTGTGTAGAAACAGCAGGACCCTGAATGACATTCTCTGGGTGTCTTCATCTAATTTTCATTCTGCTCCCCTAAGATTTTCTGATCAGTTTTAGTCACATCAAGACAACATATTACCTTAAAAACAGATGTTGAGACGTGCTCACAGTAAACAACCCCTTTTCCTGCTGCAACCTCAGCAAAAGTATCTGGTTGGAGAAACATCTAACAGATGACTTGGGCACACGTGTTCCTTTGATAGAGGGGAATCCTTTCCTGGATTCAGGTTGCTTCCAGAAAGTATCTGCTATGCTTCTGGGACTGTTTTGGTAAGTCTGCGTTCACATAAGTGTGTTCATTTAATCCTCTGAGCTCACCTTCCTTTACTTACCCCAGGTAGCTTCCAAGTGTCAGCAAAGTTTATTACACAGAGAATAAACTGAGAGAGGTGAATAAAATAAACTGGCTACGAACGTCATGCATTTCAATAGAGTCTTAGTTTAAAAAGAGATTCAGTAAATGAAAAATGATTTGAAATACTACAACTGAGAAATAAAGTTACTAGAATTCTTGGGCCAATATCTATGTGAGTGGAAGATCTGTACCTTCCCCTTGTAGCAAGGAAAGGTACTAAACTATTAATTTTGGTTTATTAGTTTATTTCATTGCCTTGGTAAAACCTGAATTTATCTTACTGTTTTCTGAGAGTACATATAAAATTTAAAACACAAATATATTTCATGGATGTCTTTTCAGAAAGACATCTTAAAGTAGCAGGTGAGTATATGATTAAAAGTTACCTGAAATATCATATAGTGTGGTTACACTTAGAAATAATTTCAGTTGTCACTGATGGTGGTGACAAAGTGGGTTATAAGCACTGCAGAGGGCATCACTGTGGATTTTATTTATCCTATGAAAGCAAAAGCTTATTCTCAAGGGATGGATGGTTACAACTCTTTTAGAGAGGCTAGTTCAGACATTTCTAGAAGTGATACAGCATTTATTAACAACCTGGTTCAAGGAGAAATCAATAGAGAGATTACAACTCTGTAAAGAAGGTGCCCAGAAGATATTGGCTGCTAACTGGGGAACCTTGTCTGCTCTTCACAGCTATTTTTAGAAAACAATAGTGACATTTATCAAACACCACAGAGAAAACATTGTAAATGTTGTAAGTCAGAATTCAGCAATTAAAGAAAGGAAAGGAAGCATTGTGGGAAAACCTCTATTTGCATAATAGGTATAGAGACCCATACCTGTACTTGAGGTGCCTTAAAGATGAGAATATTTAAGACAACTCAGTAATAAAATAGAATGATGAATATGAATTTTATTATCCACTCAGGTTGTAATTTTGGTTAAGATTTTGCTTTGGAACATAGCAATGCAAAAGAAAATTAAAGCAATTTCTTGGTTTTCCTTCCATATATTTTTATGTGGCATGTTGTAAAAAAAGAAACTAAGATGTGTTGTTTTTTCAAAAAATCACTGTTAGTAAATCTGAGAACATCATGTTATTTTTAATTGCTAAGCCTGTTTCAAAAGTATGTCTGGATCCTGTTTTTATTTACTTTCTTTGTTTTTTTTTAAGTGCTTATGGGAAAATAAATCAAAAGAAAATGTAGTTCTGTGCATTTGTACCATTTAGAAAAGCACAGGGCTGCAGAGTGAAGTAAGTCAAACTTTCTCGAACAAGAATGAGCTTCTCGGGGTTTACAGAGTTCACAGGAGGTGACCACATGCACCCTTCAATCCAAGGCATTTCTGACAGACTAAACACCCTCGGGCAGAATGCAGCCCTCAGGGAAAAGCCACTCACCACTGGGGATGGGGACAGCGCGATGTTGCCCACTGACGCCTTCAGCTCATCCACAGTCGCAGCATTCTTAAGAATGTCTTTCGATTGCAATGGTTTAATCTTGATGTTGAATTTCTTGTGGGATTCTTCTTCCTCTTCCGATTCACTTGAAGAATAAAAGTGCTTTCCTTTGGTAGGTAAAACACAGTTAAAGATATGTAACTTGTTCTCCTACCAGGAGACAGTGATAAGCAGGAGACAAAAGTGCCTCTCATGGAGACCCCAGGAGTACCCCTAGATGGCAGGAAATCCAAGCAAAACAAGCCAAAAATGAAGAGGGAAATGGGTAGAGGCCATTGACCTTTCTTCAGAACTAGTCAAAGATGGTGAATTTTAAGAACAGTGGTGATAACGTCCTGCATGTTTGCCTCAGTTGGCCTTTGTTTATCCTACTCAGCACACACACACACACACACACACACACACACAGAGCCTACTCATTTGCAGAGAGAAGAAGGCTGCTTTGTGGACAATCCATGATGAGCTTGACATACTTCAGAGGGTACTTGACATACTTCAGCTTTGTCCAAAGGTGAAATACAGGGAGAGGACAGTAATAGCTATTTTTCAGTCACTATACATGACAAAGCTACATCAGGTTTTAGCACACAACCTACTATCTACAATTTGCACAGCTGTTTTTCAGCACATTTTCCTCTTTCTCCTCTCTCTTTTCTATGAATAGATTAGGGAAAGATGCCTGCTTGTTAGGGACCAGGCTGTTCTCTACACTGCTTATTGCTCTCTAATATTAGGAATGCAGGACTTGGAAAGATTAGTTTATGTCATCACCTTTGTAAAATCTGAATTTATCTTCCTGTTTTCCAAGAGTATAAACATAAATATAAAACTTAAAATACAAAAAATAAAGAAAGGATATAGCCGGGTTCCTCAGGTCTGATGCTGTAGCCTTCTTCATCCAGCTCAGGGGAATTCTATAAAATACAAACGCACAGTCAGCATTTACAATGCTCACAATGATCAAAAAATTATTCATTTTCCTTTTGGAGTCTTCTATTTAAGGATATAGTACAAGACTTTTAGGAGACTAAGATTTTAATTTTTGAAAGTGAACACTGAGCAATCTGTTTAGATGCTTATTTGAGGATACTCAGAGAGTCTTCCAACTGGGAAAATAAATAAGAAATTAACTGCCTATGAAAGAAAACATTCAAAGAGAATATAACATGTATTTTCTGTAAGCCAAGGACTATACTAAGCAACATGGGGAATACACAATGCAAATCATCTGTCCTCAGGGAAACTGAAATGTATTTCTGTAGCCAAAATTTTAAAAGTACAAAACAGCATTGTTAGATAGGAGTCCAAAGAAAAGGAAATTGGTATGGTTTAAAATAATCAGGGAGGCCTGCATTCAGACAGAAGAAGGCAGAGTGGGAGTCCCTTGTAGGTGGCAGGGAGGAGTCTACACTGAGACACCAAGGCAGAAATGGACTTGTTTCAGATGGGGAAAGGAAGAGGCAGAAATGGACGTGTTTCAGATGGTGAAAGGAAAGGGCACAATAAAGATGATAGACTGAGAGGAAACTGCACAGTGGGAGATGGGGAAATAGGCAGGCCAACAGGCTAGGGGAAAAGTTTGGACTCAATATAACTGCTGCAGCTTCTAATAGGGTGGGACATACTGAAAGCAGCACCTTGTAGTATTCTGGAGGTATGTTCTGGGATAGCCTGGGGCAGAGGAAACTGGAGAAAGAAACTCTAACTCAGAACAGGTTATCAATTTAGGCAAGGTGAGCTAAGAATGTTATTGGTGGTGGGGTGGGATGAATTGAGGACATCTGAAAGGATTGCTTGGGCCTTGGTATTAGATACCGTCACAGGAGAAAAAGGGGAGGGACAATTCAGGAAGATGCAGAAGTTTCTATCCTCCCTCAAATACTGGGAGAGTGCTGGGAATTTAAGCTGAACTAATCATAACTGCAGAAAACTAATTTTTTTTTGTTTTTGGAAATTGCAAGAAGGATAAAAAGCAGCTTGTATTGCTGGGATTAGTATGATCATATTTGAGTTTCAATTATTTGTTAAGTGCTGTGATCCATACTGTATCTTGCTGAACCACATAACACCAAATATGGAAAGAATTATCCCATTTACCAAGGAGAAGACTAAGAGAAATCAGATGCTATTTCACAAGGAAACTCGCCCAGCCAGTGCCAGATGCAGGCCTGAGGCCCAGGCATTGGAGACTGTGTGTTACACTCTACGGAGTGGGGAGATGAAGAGCTCAGTGGTGGCCCTGCTGCAGGCCAGGTTCTAGGCCTGGAAGTGGGAGAGGACAGAGTTGGACAGAGTTTTGGGAATCACTGAAGCAATGAATCAGCGAATTTATTCTTTTTTTTTTGAGACAGAGTCTCACTTTATTGCTCTTGGTAGAATGCTGTGGTGTCACAGCTCACAACAACCTCCAGCTCTTGGGCTTAGGCAATTCTCTTGCCTCAGCCTCCTGAGTAGCTGGGACTACAGGCACCTGCCACAATGTCCAGATATTAGTGAATTTATTCTTGATAAATATTAAATTATTAGTATTTCTCTCTGGGAAGACAACTTGGGTAAAAACAGCAGTTTTTAAAAATTTGTTTATTAATTGTATATATTTAAGTTTGCTGCAGCTGAGGAGTGGAGCTCTCCCCACACTGCCCTGAGGCTGGACTCCTGAGTTCACAGCCAGTGTAGACTCCATATGTTCAAGTCACTTGCTTGGCTCAAAAAGGCACTCAAGGTTTATGTCTGAGTCAAATGCTTCTGAGGGAGAATTCAAGATGGTCAAATAAGAGGAACGAAGTGAAAAGAAATCGTTATGTCACTGGACATTTTCAAGGATCTCTCAGTGTCTGTGGGCAGTTACCTCTCCTGGACAGGACCACGGTTTGATCTACACACACACAGAGGCGGCTACTACGGTGGAGCTTACTATTGATTACTACAGGGTTACCTTTCTATCACTTCCTATAGCCTCACCCTGGAGTGTGAGTGTGTGCGCAGGTGGTAACAGCACTAAAATCCACTCCCTTGTTATATTTTCAGCATATGGTGCTGCCCACATGCTCACATCAGAACCCGAGAGTCCTCACCCGCCTCATAGGGAAGCTGTGCCCTTTGACCCACTTCCCCCTTTCGTCTCTGCCCCCCACCATCATCCTCCTTCTACTTAGTTTGTCTCTATTCCACTTGTATATATTTGTTTTCAGATTCTGCATATAAGCAAGCTCATGCAGTATTTTGTTTTGTGAAAGCCACCTGGATTTTGAACATTCATTGTAGTTTTCCTCTTTCTCTGTGGTGTTCAGAGTTACTTTTTTTAATGCAAGTGTATTGAGATCTCTTCTCTGCTACAAATCTGCCCCTGGCTTCTGGTTGCACTTAGCATGAGAGCCAAGTGCCTCTGTGACATCGGGAAGGCCTCCAAATCTGGCTCCTGCCTGGCTTGAGCCTCACATCTGCATTCTCATCCCTTGACCCTTTCCTCAGTCACCTGTTTTGACCTGAGTGCTACATGCACTGTCTCATTTCAGGCTCCTCGGCCTGCATCTCACTCCACTGAGGTTCAGGCAATCAGCCTTCACTTATACATTGGGTCTTTACTTATACGTCCTGCCCTCCCTGAGGCCCTCCCTGCCCAGTCTGGAGGATACAGTGCACCAAGAATGGAACCCTTCTTATTACTCAGGGAAACTGGGTCTAATGCACAGTGAATTATGGTTCCTGTGTGATGTGATTAGTTGTTAGGATTAAATAGATTTGTATAAAGTTGGCCAGGCACAGTGCTAGAGCATAGTTTGTGTCTAGACAAGGGACAGAGTATGGAATTTGAGGAGTCATTTGGCATTTTAGTTAGCATGTTTACTCTTTGTTGGAAATAGCCTATTCTCATGTAAAATCCTCCCCTATTATAAAATCCTACAGAATAGAGTAGAATTTTTCTAGGTAAAAAATAATTAATTTGGGGGAGGCTGAGGTGGGTTGATTGCCCGAACTCAGGAGTTCAAGACCAGCCTGAGCTAAAGCGAGACCCTGTCTCTAAAAATAGCTGGTGTTGTGGCAAGCATCTGTAGTCCCAGCTACTCTGGAGGCTGAGGCAGGAGGATTGCTTGAGCCCAAGAGTTTGAGGTTGCTGTGAGCTATCATGCCATGGCACTCTACCAAAGGCAACAAAGAGAGACTCTGACTCAAGAAGAAAAAAAAAAGAATTAATTTTGGGGAAAGAAACTACCCTTTTAAAATGTTTAATATTTGCCCTTATGACATTATTTACAGATAATTTAGATTTAAGGTAACAGAAAGGCTGTCATTCACATATGCTTGGGAATTTAACTGCTAAAAATATCAAAAGATCTCAATCCTGGGAAATATAAGATGTGAGAGAGAATATGAGGTGTGTTATGTTCACTTGTAAGGGGAGGTAAGAAAGGACAGGGCCATGAGTTGGCAGAGTGACATGTTGGGTTGGGAAGTCTGAAGAATTTAGCTTTTCCCAGCCACAGTTTTCTATAAAATACAGACCATCTATTATTTACCTTTTAGGGTGGCAAGAATTTAATAACATTTAATACTATTTGATGATTGATGAATACAGCATTCAGTAAATGGCAGTATCAGTTATTATAACAATTCTCATTATAATATTAGCAAATATGCTTAAGCTTTATCATCAAACTTAACTTTTATGAAAGGGGGGATTGGGCTAGGAGAGTCACCTAATGGGTAAGGGTGTTTCACAGGGATCATGAGTTTGGGCATTTGATATGCAACAGAAGTGACCTTGCTGTGAGCTGCTCCATGTGTTCTGTGTGGCTAGAGACCAGCAGCGACCTGGGTCTCACAGACCCCACAGCTCTCCATCTCTATACCGTCCTAATGTGCCTGGCATCTCCTAGTAAGACAGGAGCGCTTCACTTATTTCTATATTCTGTTATTATAAGAATGCTTCAACTCATTTCTAAGTTGTGAAATACTCAATAGAGAAAAACAATCTTCTGATACTCACATATCTTTCCCAATCAATTTCTGCATAAAATCCATTTGGTGCCCCATTGCTTTTTTTCTGTAACAAATTTGAAAATAAAATTAGAAGAGATGCATTTGAATGGAAAAATAAAGGAACAAAAAACACTTACGTGTTGTGTGCATTTAGCAAGAGCTACTGAAATACAGCCTGGAAAGACACATCAGCTTAGCCCCATCACGAGCCAGAATGTGGTACATTTAGCTGCCAGGACGCAGTGCCAAAGGGCCTAAGTACTCACTTCACAAAGACTGTGGGATTCTGAGGCAGGGGGACATAACAACTGGCTGTTCCCAGTTTATTCAATTTCTGAAGAACCAGCAGCACCTACATTATAATTTAGTCATCTGTACCTCTAGGGGCTATGGCCGTGTGCATATATATTACACGGAAACTTTCTGACTTCCAAGCTGTTCTTATATACAATTAGCTCTGACATAGCCAAAGAATCCTCATGCAAGCCAATAACTCACCTTTTAGCATTTCTAACATTGAATTAATGTTTTTCTAATCACCTCCTTGATAAAATTTAAAGGAAGTCAGCTTCAAATTAGTTAATTCAGCTCCTAGTCATTACAAATAATATTTATCTTGTTCATATGTTTTTTCTTATGAAATTATTAAATGGAATTTGGGAATTAATGGTGGGTTTCTGTCATTTGCTGATCTGTGACTTCATGAGCACACATTTTTGCAAGTTGAACAGACATCACTGCTACTGTCGCTGGACTATTTTAAAGTTTTTGCCTAGCACAACCATGACGTATGGCCACTGAGCACGGAAGCAGCATCCCCAAATAGAAACTGCTAAGATTCTGTATGTTTTGTGAGCAAAGGACAAAAACACAAATCAGGTTGGTGATGACACTCTTGTAGTCAGCACACTGAGCAGTGGGGCGCCACTGAGTGACAGCAGGTCTCAGAACAGCACACCAGAGAGTGACGTTGTGAACAGCTAACACCCAACTCAGCAGATGGGGAGAAGTCAGCTTTTCAGGTGTGTGTGGAGGGTCACGGACCATTAGATGCCCCCGGATGTCTGTTATCATGGGATGCTGTGTGTTGACAGGGTGTTCTAATAACTAGCAGTGGATGAGCAAGGCCAAGTAGCACACAAGAAATAGTTAGTGTTCCCGCCTCTCCCTTCCTACCTGCTACCACTGTCCCGAATTTTCTAACTTGAGGACTCTGCCCAGCCTCCACTGACCAGCATCTGGAAACACAAGGCCTGTGCCCACCCCCGCTTTACCCTGCTCCTGACAACTGTCACTGTGCTCAGACCACATCATTTTAATCTTTCATAGAATTGCCTTCATTGAACTAGCACTTCAGGAATACTCTTTCTACTTTGGAAAAGGTTTTTTATAAAATCCAACATCTCAACTCTACACATGTCCACTTTATGAACTTACTGTTGAGAACATGGCCCATCAAATAATGCATCACTTAATACAAATTCTCCTCTCCTCTAAGAATGGGCATGATTCTTATTTTCTTTTTACCATAATTATCTTTATCTTTTAATTCCTACTTTACCAGTCTGTTTGTATGCGATTCCTTTGCAAAATGCTCCCATTTCTTAGGAAGCAGATATAATAAACAACTTCAATATAAAAATCTAATTTATAATAATAGGAAACCAGACAAACTAAGTTGATTCTAGAGAAGTTGTGACTCAGGATGCTTATCTAAAAGCCAGAGATTAGATAAATTACATGATAATCTCACCTCTATAACTAACGCCCTTCAAAACCAAGATAGTTTCTATATTCCGCTGAACAAATTTATATACATGTGTATACATTTTACATTTTGTCCTTACTGACAACATATACCTAACATTGTAGATACAAAAGTTTCTGAATTTTGAGATCTGGGCTGAGTGAAAATTTCCCAGTATCCCATTGAGATAAGGGGAAAGCAAAATGTATAACTAATTTTTTTCTCTTGAAATAAGAACATTTTAAAAACAAACACTAGGAACAAACAACAAGTCACAACAACACATTCTTTCTGGCAGATGCTCAACACACAGACACACACTTGCCCTTCTAGAGGAATCTGGATTCATTCATAACACTGAATTCTTACAAATAGTATCTTTGGTTTCACAAGTGAAAATTATTAAGTTCTGGCCAAACCCCAAGAACAAAAACTGTTCTCATGGTTTCACCCCTGAGCAAGGCTCAGCCCACAATAGCGTGGCAGTGAAGAGGAGGAGTCTCCAGTTTTCAAATGGAAAACTTTGAGCAAGCGGGAGGGAGGAGGCATGACGTAGGGGACACCAGATAAAAAGTCATCTCCACGTAAAAGCAATCCAATTTATGCACCAACACACAAACAATGATTTCTTTTTCTTTCGGAATTTCTTTTTCTTCTTTTTCTGTATTTTTAAAAATTCTACACACAAGTAACTTTTATAAATTGTTATTTAAAGATAACTGAGTCTCACGGAGATGTTACTCTTATCTTACTCGGTGAGGCTCATCTGTGCTCAGATGATGTGATGGCTAAATAAATAAATATGGTAACAACTATGTTCAATTACAAACTCATCAAAATTCTCGATTTCTACAGTGAATGCTCGCCCTTCCCTAGGTCAGCTCACAGCCACGTGGTGACCCTTGGGTGAGAAGTGTTGAAGGCACATGATGCACTGTCTAAGTACTTTTTCTCCACTGAGGGAGGTGCGACTCATTTGGAAAAATCCTACAGAGGAGCAGTGTTGAAAGTGTCCAAGGTGGCAACGTGCTCTCTGTGTGCCGCCCAGTATGGCAAACTGGACACGTGGCAAGAGTGACTGAGTACGGAATTTCAGTTACCAGCCCTCGTGGCTGTCATGCTATTCAACACAGCTAGGGGGATTGTGGCATCTGAACGAGGACCAGTGTCCCAACTGGACATCCTTTGGTCAAGTACACCAGTTCCCGCAGACTAAGTTTCTGCCAAATTCTTGGTGTTTTTGAGCTAGCATTACCCTAACAAATGACCATGCAATTTGCATGGTGTTGTTTATATTTATGTTATGCCTGACTCTTTTTTTTTTTTTTTTGCATTTTTTGGTTGGGGTTGGGTTTAAACCCGCCACCACTAGCATATGGGGCCGGTGCCTTACTCCTTTGAGCCACAGGTGCTGCCCTGCCAGACCCTTCTTTACAGATAGCAGATTCTTTTAAAAATCTGAATCCTTGACTTTTGTCTAAGACAAGGAAACAGCCATCGTTTATGTCTGGTCACTCTTTAAAAGCATGTTTGGATGTCAACACATGAAATCTATATGGTCGATATAAAAATTGGTCCCAGGTATTTAAGAAGTAATTTGAAATGGAGTGAATAAAAGGTACTGTGTTTTCCAGATTTTAAATCAGGATTTTACTCACTATTTCTGTACCCCCTGGGAAATTTCAGACTAAGATGTTTCTTTACCGAGACTTTCCCCTCCTTCAAACTCATACTCCGCTTTGCTACTGGAGGGGGCTCATGTGGGCTGGGCTGCTGGAATTGATTATTTTCATGTAGAAAAAAGTTCCTAAAGGATCTGGTTGTTCTTCAAGACACATACAAAGAGTCCCATGGAGTCCACAAACACACCACTGAAGAAATCATTTCTAGGCCAAATCATGCGGCCTACCGACCACGGCAGGGTTCCCTCCGCAAGTGGACTTTGGGCCCATAATGAGGCTCTATTCAGCAGGCCAGCTGGGCTGGGCCAGGACAAAGGGAGAAGAAGGCGGCTGCACCCTGGGTGTGGGGACCGCAGGGCCCTGCCCCTCATTCAGTCAACACTTGGCTCACATTGAATACAGACAGGAGGACACACAGACGACATCCCACAGAACGCTTGTGTTTCTAGTCCGAGTAGGGGTCTAGCTCCAGCCTGCCTTCCCTTGCATCGCTCTTTCTGAGGGTCACTAATGCACATAGCACACACCTCAGACAGCTCCACATCTGTCCCCTGTCCTGTGCACCTGCTCGGGTTAAGCAAGAACTATCTTCTCACAGCAAGGGCTGTGCCCCTGTTGCCCTGTCAATGTGTACAGGGAGTTAGAAGTTAGTGTACTCTGCATGAGTTAGAGCTGTGTCTGTGCTGGAACACACTGTCACATAGCTGAACCACTTAGCAGTTAGTGTACCCTGCACGAGTTAGAGCTGTGTCTGTGCTGGAACACACTGTCACACAGCTGAACCACTTAGCAGTTAG